TTTCCCTGAATCTTATACCTTCCTTTTCCTTGGCTTATTCCATTGGTTTGCTAAATATGTCCTTCTAAAGTCACTTCTTAAAAAGAGTTTGTAGCAATGTTTTTACTATATATTCACTTGCTTGATAGTTTAGTTGGACAGAGAATTCTTTTTTTTTTTGAGAATTCTAATTTTAAATTTTGTACTCTTGTATAGTAAGTTAAGAACAAGTATTATTCCTTGTTAATTTCAACATTATTCCTTGTCTTTCAGTAGATGGAGTTTCATCCTTTGCCCTTGGGCAAGACAAGAAAGACTATCAGGGAATATTCTGGTATTCTGTGTGGGATTTTATCAAATAGCTTTCAAATAGATGAATGTAAGTGGACATTAATTTCATACATACTATTTCTGAAATGTTATACAATCTGAATGTATAAACATTAAACAACAGATGCTAGGGTGCAATATATAATTTAAATCAGTAACAAATGTTTCAGTGATTCTCCCAAAGCCAGCCTCACTGGTCTGAGAGGGAGGAGGTAGGAGTAAGAATGGTTCCTCTATCATCCCAAGTGACTCACTACTCAAATTTTTTCTTCTCATTCCCACAACATCAGGCTCTGCTGGTTTAGGGGTTTAGGTTCCCAAGTGAGGAACTCTTCCACTGGGGGTACTGCAGTGGTTCAGTTAAACCGGCAGCTGAGATTGCTACCTGGACACTTGGGGCTCTTCATGCCAGTGAACCAACAGCCAAGGGGTCACTCTGCTGGCTAGAGTGATTGAATGATCCCTGAGTGTCAAGCAGTTGCCACTAAACAAAGGAAGTAAGGAGCATTTCTAGAATGCAGAAGATATATTGGGACATCTCTTCCTCTTCCCCGGTCCTATGATTAAAATCAATGGAAAATATTCTGCAATCCCAGGAGGACTGCTAATGGCTTGAAGACTTTGGGAATAAAGATGTGGGTCACTTCACCGTGTGAAGAAACTTGGCCAGCTTAGATGCTTACTGAGGGTGGAGAAATAGGTGGTGGGAGAGGGTCACTGAAAACACTGTCTACTGCCATGCCACCAGTAGCAGAAATGACTTTTATTCCAAGATGCTCTTTTAAAGACTGCTTACCAAAGCAATATAATTTTTGTTGTTTCCTTCTTCAAGGAAAAATAATATATAGTTATTATATCAAACTTGGCAGATTTGGTAAAATCACCAGGATACTGGTAACATTTTGGTTACTGTCCTTCAAGTCTCTCTCCAAGTCATACGTCTATAATGTGTATGTCCACATGAACATATTTTAGCTTTATAAAAATAGAATCACATTTAAATTGTCATATAAACAGACCCCCCCTCCCCCCCCTCCCCTCTAAAGATAAATAAATAAAATCTAAAAAAAAAAAAAAACAGACTTCCCCTAACAGCTTATCATAAATACTTAGCTCTAAATAATTAAATAGTTTCCAATTTAAGAGCATCATTTTAAATTACTTTATGGCATTCTGTTGTATATCATAATTATTTAACCCAATACTTATAATTTACTCTCAGATTATTATCAGTTTTTCTTTTTTTTAAAAATTTTTATTTAGGTATTTTTCAAGTACAGTTTTCTGTTTATTTCTCCCATTCCAGCCCACCCCTCCCCCATGCACCCCACCTCCCTCCCATTTCTACCCCCCTTAGTTATTGTCCCTGTAGTTTTTCTTAATTAACTAAAAACATTGACAAACATATCTTTACTTTTTAAAATAATTTTTGTTTTTAAATTACAGTTGACATACAATATTATATTAGTCATTAGACATTCATATAACTTAGGAAGAGATACCCCCATGAGTCTAGTGTTGTCTGACACCATGTGTAGTGTCATTACAACAGGACAACTTTCCCTGTGCTGTACTTCACATCCCCACGACTGTTCTGTAACTGCCAATTTGTGCTTCTTAGTCCCTTCCCTCTTTCCACCCCTTCCCCCAACCCTCCTTCCATATGGCAACCATCAGTTGCTCTCTGACTCTGAATTTGTTTCTGTTTTGTTTGTTCATTTATTATGTTTTTTAGATTCTACATACAAGTGAAATCATATGCTATCTGTCTTTTCTCTGTTTGACTTCACTTAACATGATACCCTTTAAGTCCATCCATGTTGTTGCAAATAGTAAGGTTTCACTAAAAAAACCCCTGGTTTTATTTATTTATTTTTAGAGAGAGGGTAAGGGAGGGAGAGAAACATGGATCAGTTGCCTCTTCAACGCGCCCCGACCAGGGATGAAACCCTCAGCCCAGGCACAGGCTCGGACAGGAATCTAACTGGCCACCTTTCCCCTCCAGGGAACATGCCCAGCACACTGAGCCACACCTGTCAGGCCAGGTTTCACTCTTTTTATGGCTGAGTAATATTTCACTGTATATATGTAGCACATCTTCTTCATCCATTTGCCCATTGATGGGTTGCTTCCATGGACAATAGGTTGGCTATTGTAAATAGCACTGCAGTGAACATATGGGTGCATATATCTTTTGAATTAGTGTTTTGGGTTTCTTTGGGTAAATACCCAGAAGTGGAATTGCTAGGTCCTTTTCATCTCTTGTTTTACATCCTTTGTTTTAAAGTCTATTTTTCTGATGTATTGCTCCCCAGCTTTTTTTCGCCCTTCCCATTTGTGTGAAATTTCTTTTTCAATCCCTTTACTTTCAGTCTGTGTGTGTCTTTTAATCTGAAGTGAGTCTGTGTATGTACCACATATATGGATTTTGTTTTCTTATCCAGTCAGCCATCCCATGTCTTTTTTAAGCATTAAAACATTTTTACTGATTTTTTTTTAGAGAGAGAGGAAGGGAGAAAGGGAGAGAGAGAGGTTATTCCATTTATTTATGCATTCATTGATTGATTATTGTATGTGCCCTGCCAAGGGGTCAAATTTACAACCTTTGTGTTTTGGGATGATGCTCAAACCAATTGTAGCATTTAATCCATTTACATTTAAAGTAATTATTGATAGGTATGTAGTAATTGCCATTTTATTATTCATATTTTGGTTTCTTCATCTCCTCCTCTTCCTTTTTCAAGTCTAACATTTCTTGTAATACTAGTAGCTTGTGATAAAGCCCTTAACTTTTTTTGGTCTGAGTTCATTAAGCCTTTTAACAAATTTTTATTGAGTAGCTACTCTGTGCCAGACATGTAATAGCTTCATCACTGTGCAAATTCACATGGTTAAATTTTTCATGTTAAGCTTTTCAGTAAGTGTATTTTGTGAAAAGGAGGCATAAACAGAGAGGATGCATCCGTTTAAAAACCTGCACACACACACACACACACACACATCTGCACAGATTTAATTTTATTAAAAAAACTGGGCAGTTCCAAGTATTTCTAGAAGTCTTCTGGGAATGCAACATTACCAATGAATCTTCTGGAGTCCCTCTCACATTCACCTGCCTCCAGAATAACTCTGAATTTATTGATCCATCTTACACAGTGAAGCCTGAAAAGAATTTTCTCCAACTTCCTTTTCCCACCAAAGTGCCCCCAAATTGCCTCTACCTGTAGATACTCTGGTGCACTGTAAGCTGACGTACAGCAGAATCTCAATCCCCATCTCAAACCTGCTGAATCGCTGTCTGCATTTTAATGTAATTCTCATACACAGTAGTTTGAGAAGCACTGATTTAGATTTGATACTTGGCTCGCACTCGACCCTAGTCCTTCCTTCTGAACAACAGAGATAAGGAGACCAGACTAGTAGTTAGCAGCTGTGTCAGAGACAAGATCTGTACCCGCGGATCCACTTACATACTTTCCCCTATACCCAAGCCCTGCCCAGACAGGAAATTCGCCGCTAAAGATAGGCTGCCTGTAGGAGACATAAGGACATAGGAGACCTCCAAAAGTTGTTGAGCTCCGTGAAAAAGGGTGGAACAGGAAAGGGAGGAAAGTAAGTTCCTGGATTCCAAAAACCACAGTTTGTCTAGGTGCTACTTTCTCCCTTTTTAGCACATAACTTTGTCATGAGACATTCCTTTGCTGACCTCTTTTCCTTTTACATTTTGCCCTGATTAAAAAGTCACCAACTAAAACTTTTCTCCACGAATTAGAAACTTTAAGTTGTCTGGGCCTGAATGTTCCTGGTTTTGAACAGTTTCTGGCAGTTCCTTGCCTTTATGGTGTAGTCATGGTGAAACCTGAGTCATCTGAAGATGGTGTCAGTGCCAAACAAACTGGCTGGAGAAGGAGTTGCTGACAGCCAAGGCAGCAAAGGAGCTGGAGATAAGTAACCTTGGGCACCAGGGCCACTCGCCTTCCCACAGGAGAGCTAGCCCAGGCCTAGCTGTGTTGACACAAATCGCTTCACACTGTACAGTTCTAATGAATACTTGTCTGTTGCAAGTGTGTTTAGACACAGTGGAAAGTATAAAGCATCTCCCCAATTGTTTCTTAGAGTTCCAAGTAGCAACACCTAACTTTTGCATGTGCCAGAATTTTTTTGTAACCTGAGAAACAACGTTTTCCTGGTGAGGTAAATAATATACCTCAATTTTTGTTTTAAGGTAATAAAGTTTTCTCCCGTGCACATTCATATACACATTAAACAACTACTCAGTAAATGCACCCCTGTTTGGGGGTGTGTGTGTGTGCACGCGGGCCATTTCTCTAAAATTCTGACTCACAGTCTGGAGGACAATGATGAATTTTTTTCCACTTCACAAAGCTGCTATGAATTTTTCCTCACAAGGATGTGCCTGTTTACTCACTCTGGACATCGTTAGTAAAGCGCTACTGTAAACAGCCGGAGAAACCCGTGGGCTGGGGAAGGGGGCGCCCCGCGTACTCCGCGGGGAGCAGATGCTGGGACCAGGTTGGACTGACCGCAGTAAGAGACGGCTTTCTGACCCTCCTGGATTTGCGACGCTTGCCAGAGCATCGAGAAGCGCCATTTGGTGCGGGTGGGAGGGGTGGAGCCACCAAGTCCTGTCTCAATTTAGATCTCTCCCTCTGCTTTTAGGCGCGCCCATTTCAGACTGCTGAACTCGAGTCAGTGGGGGGAAGAAAACGTCAGGGAAGAGGTGGAAAGCCACACCCCGCAGTGCCCGCGAATTTCCCCGGGAGCCGACGGTCGCCCGAGCAGTCGCTGCCGAGATGCGGGGCCCGTGGCTTCTGACCGCCGCCCACCTCGTCTGCGTGTGGACCGCAGCGCTGGCCGCAGCCCCCGGGTAGGAGCGCGGGGCGGGCGGGGGCGCGCGGGGCGCGCGGGGCAGGACGCGCTGTCCGCCTGGGCCGGGGCTGCGGGTGGCGCCAGTAGCTGTTCAGCAGCGGGTGGGAACCGGCCCACCGGCCCACGGCGGCAGCAGCCCCCACCCAGGCACTGGCCAGGAGGTTTGGCCATGTGTCGAGTCAGCTTGGCTCTGCAGGAGACAGTTACCGGTATTTTTTTTTTTTCCCCATGAAGTTGTTTAAGCGTTTCTCTGGCCATAAGTACTTTCTAAAGAGAGTCATTTTATTTTTAGTCCGCGGAGCCTCTGCATTTTTCTAAGCTGCTCCCAAACAATGTGCGTGCCGTCTTCTCTCAAAGACAGATGATACTAGTTTTTCTGAACAAGGTGTCTCAACTTTGGCGTTGACAGAGTGTAGCTTAGGTGACTCAAGTGTAGTTCAGGTGCAGACATTGTAGAAAGGGTAACTACCGAGGCACTTAAGTAATGGAAAGTGCCCCACTCCTAAAGGTTTTTACAGTTGATCCCCGACTCCTAGCTTGTGCAGAGAAAATGCTGCTTTAGCGATTTTTCTACTCTGCTACACCTGGAAATCTCACCACTGATAGTGAAATGTCTGGTGGTATATTTCAATTAGTGCTATTGGTTAGATCTTTTCTTGGGCAAATACCCAAATATAAAGGTTTTAGTAAGAAATAGGCAAAAATCTATGTGTGTGTGAGATCGTGTGTTTAAGCCAAGAAAAAAAAAATCACACTGGGACGAGATCCACTGTGAAAGAGAAGTTTAGAGGCTTGCAGGTTGCCAGGAACTTCTGCAAGCCCCAGGGTGAGCCTTCTCCACTCAGGCTCGTCCTGTGCTGTTGGTGGTTTATAAGATGGAAGTAATAACACAGACCCTACTCTAGTTGTACACGAATTACTGTATTAAAATTGATTTGGGGGGGGTTACTGTTTCTGTGACATTTCAGTGCAGTTGCCAAACAGAGCAGCAGCGCAATATTAATTGAGACAGTTGCAATCAGCACAATATACGAAGTCTATCTCACTGTCTATAAAATTTGAGGATCACAAAAGAATGGAGATGTGAAGATAAAAAATGTTTTCTCTTTGTTGGGGACTCTTAGGCCCAGGTTTCTGGTGACAGCCCCAGGGAGCATCAGGCCTGGAGGAAATGTGACTATTGGGGTGCAGCTCCTGGAACACAGCCCCTCGCAGGTCACCGTGAAGGCCGAGCTGGTCAAGGTGGCCGCAAACCTCACCATGTCTGTCCTGGAAGCAGAAGGAGTCTTTGAAAAAGGTAAGAGAAGCAACATAGAGTTTTACCCTTCTACTGTAATAATTGGAACATGTTAATAAAGCTATTAGGTAGGGTAACAGAGAAACCCCAAATTTGGAATGGCTTACTTAATGTTCTTTTGTTCCTGGAAAGTCCAAAATGGTGTTCTTGGTTGTTCTTCCAGTGGCAGTTCAGAGACCAAAGTTCTTCCATTTTGTGGCTCCATCATCCTGCAGGGAAAGAACAATGAAATTCTCATGTGGGAGGTTTTTTTGAGCTAGACCTAGACATGGCTCATGTCATTCTTATTTGTCTTTTATTGGCCACATTCAGTTGCAAAGGAGCCTGGGAAATGTAGGCACATTTGTGTCCTAAAGAGGAAATGGGTATAGTTAACAGTCTGACACAAAACTGTATTTATCAGGTATACTTTACTAAATAGGCCTATGGGGGAAAAGCAACACAATAGTTAAAAATTCAGTTTTAGGAAATATTTCTTAATTTTTATTTTATTAAAATTTTTGTCTAAGTGTATTTTATTGATTATGCTATTACGGTTGTCCTTTTTTTGGTCTCCTCTTTATTCACCTCTGTCTTGTATCCCTCTGCCCTCCAGCATTCCCCCTCCCCCCTTAGTTCATGTCCACAGGGTCATACTTGTAAGTTCTTTGGCTTCTCCGTTTCCTATACTGTTCTTAACCTCCCCCTGTCTATTTTGTGCCTACCATTTATGCTTCTTATTCCTTATACCTTTGCCCCCTTCCCCCCCTCCACCACCTCCCCACTGATAACCTTTCATGTAATCTCAGCAATTCTGTGATTCCGTTCCTGTTTTAGTTTTTTGCTTACTTTGTTTTTGTTTCTTTTTTTAAGTTCAGTTGTTGATAGTTGTGAGATTGTTGTCATTTTACTGTGAATAGTTTTGATATTCTTCTTTTTCTTAGATAAAGCTCTTTAACATTTCATATATATATATTTTTAAAGATTTTATTTATTTATCTTTAGAGGGGAAGGGAAGGAGAGGGAGAGAAACACCAATGTATGGTTGCCTTTCGTGCGTCCCCTGCTGGGAACTGGCCTGCAGGGAGTCTGTCTGCAACCCTGGCATGTGCCCAGACTGGGAATCGAACCGCGATTGTCTGGTTCGCAGGCCCGCGCTCAATCCACTGAGCTACACCAGCCAGGGCAACATTTCATATATTAAAGGCCTGGTGATGATGAACTCCTTTAACTTTACCTTATCTGGGAAGTACTTTATTTGCCCTTCTATTCTAAATGATAGCTTTGCTGGATAGAATAATATTGGGTATAGGTTCTTGCTTTTCATGACTTTGAATACTATTTTCCAGCTCTTGTTGCCTGTAAGGTTTCTTTTGATAAATTAGTTGGTAGTCTTATGGGAACTCCTTTGTGGTAACTCTCTCTTCTCTTGTGGCTTTTAAGCTTCTCTCCTTATGTTTAATCTTGGGTAATTTAATTACTGTGTGTCTTGATGTGTGTCCCTTTGGGCCCAACTTATTTGGGAGTCTCTGAGGTTCCTGGACTTGCATGTCTATTTCCTCCACCAGATTGGGGAAGTTTTCTTTCATTATTTTTTTCAAATAAGTTTTGAATTTCTTGCTCTTCCTTTTCTCTTTTTGGCACCTCTATGATTCATATGTTATAATGCTTAAAGTTGTCCCAGAGGTTCCTAAGCCTCTCTTCATTTTTTTTGAATTCTTGTTTCTTTATTTTGTTCTGGTTGAATGTTTATTTCTTCCTTTTGTTCCAAATCATTGATTTGAGTCCTGGTTTCCTTCCCTTCACTGTTGGTTTCCTGTATATTTTTCCTTATTGCACTTCGCATAGCCTTCACAGTTTCCTCTATTTTGTGACCATACTCAACCATTTCTGTGAGCATCCTGATCACCAGTATTTTGAACTCTGCATCTGGTAGGTTGGTTATCTCTTCATCACTTCTCTTTTTGGAGTTTGATCTGTTCTTTCATTAGGGACATATTTTTTTGTCTAGTCACACCAGTCTAGATGAATGTTTCTTCTTTAACTCCTTGGTTGTTGGACTTCCATACAGTTTGATTTTCTAGCACTGTTGGTTGGTTTTTGTTTTTAACTTGGTTGTGTGAGCAGGCAAAGCATATCTACTATGCCTCCATCTTGGCCAGAGCTCCCTTACCTTATAGAAAGTGATTAATTACATTATGGAGAGCTCTGATGGCAGCAGGTTGGCAAAGCAGGGGGGCTGAAATAGTTAGCATTTATTTATTTTTATTTTCTATTTATTTATTTTTAGAGAGAGAGGAAGGGGAAAGAGAGGGAGAGAAACATCAGTGTGTGGTTGCCTCTAGGGTGCCACCCCCTGGGGAGCTGGCCTGCAACCCAGGCATGTGCTCTGACTGGGAATCGACCCAGCGACACTTTGTTTTGCAGGCTGCTATTCAATTCATTGAGCGACACCAGCCAGGGTGTATTTCTTAATATTTAAAGTAACAGAAAAAATAATGTAAAAGTGGGAGCCATTTATGAAAGAAACTACATCTCTTGTTTCAAGTTTGTGTTGTAACCTGGCCTAGGATTATTGGGTCAATGAATATCTTCTTTTCAAATACTAAGGGGAAAACAATTCTTTGGTGGGGGGGCAGGGAAGTAAACTTTTTTTTTTTAGCAAAATAACATTTATTATATTTTTTCTAATTGAAAGAGTAATTAATAATATATGCTCAGTGCTTACAACCTGTTAAACACTGAAAGTAAAGAAAATAAACAAAAATCACCCATAATCCTATCACCCAGCTATAAATGCTGTTAACGAGAAGAATCTTTAGATGTTTAATCAGAAGCCAGGAATTGAGGCACAAATTCCTATTACAATGTTGAGTTATGTTAACAAAAATTATGTAGGGCACATAATGAAGGATGGATTGAATTTCACAACAGTTCATTGTGGTATAAATATTTATACTTTACCAGCGTAGAGAAATTAACACAATCATGAAATGAGATAAAATCTAAGTGGATTGATATTTATTATTCTTTCCTCACTGGAAGTTGATTAACTGGGTGGATAAGTTTGGGACAAGAGTCAGGAAGAGGTAATGTGTGCAGGGGCCGGGGCACTTGGTCAGGAAGAAGGGAGGCCTCATTTCCCTGGAAGAGGAAGTGTCGCTTAGTGCTTAAGGTCTGAGACTGAGTCTCAGCACAAGTCATATGATCTTGGGCAGGTTACTTAACTGCTCGGAGCTTCAGTTTTTCTCACCTGTAATCTGGGGATAATGAAACTTAATTTCTAGGACAGTTACTAAGTCAAAATCAGTATTTTAACTTGAGTGCCTAACAGGCACTCAAAAAACAACAGCTGTTAATATTATAAGGAGCATGTCATGTAACAATCCTAAAGAAGAACATGCAGGAAGCATCGTTACCTTTTTACATGAGGCAGACTTCTACTTTCGTTATTGAACCATTATTTCTGAAAATGAATGAATCCGGATCTTATGATAATGGCTAAAGAAAATATTGAAATATGAAGCCACAGCAGACAATGGTTAAGGTAGTTCTGCATTCACTATTACTTATTAAGAATTATTATTTTGGCTCTACAATGTGGTAGTTTTACTGTAAGGCAAATGTAGATGATTCTGATAAATGTTTGGGCTTTGCTTGGATGTCTGCGAACTCTTAATCTAGAATTTTCACTGCATTGTCTTTTCTGCAATTTCCTTTATCTGTCTCCTTTCCTTTTATCTGCAAATAGTAGCCACGTTGGGGGTGCATGTTATTGCAGCTTGGTTTTTAACTTTATTCTTAGATTTTTCTTTTGGGAGGAGAGTGAGTCCATCACGTGCTTCAGGGAAGGCTAAAGCACTTAAGACTAGGTCAGACAACACTCCTGGAAGCAGGATGGATCTTTGAAAAAGAAAGATTGAAAATGTGTTTCTTTTAGGGTCTGTTTTTGACACTGTTGATACACAGTTTCACTGAAAATACCATTGCTGGGAGCATGATTCCACTTTGAAAGGAGAACGCTATTCTGTTACCAGAGGCTGTGAGTCATTGTTCTCACAGCAGATGCTTCCTGGAACGTGAGGACTTAGGATTCAAGACATTTCTGCCTTTGCTTTATCTGACTTCTCCAGTTGTAACTGTATGTAGATGAAAGAGAACTTCTAAATCAGTGAGGTCTGGATCATGCTAGGATTCATTTTTATTCATTAAAAATTTTTATTGATTGATATTTAAGAGAGAGGGGGAGAGAGAGAGAGAAGGGAGCATCAATTTGTTGTTCCATTTATTTAGGCATTCATTCATTGATTCTCATACGTGACCAGGGATGGAACCCGCAACCTTGGCATATAGCTCAGTTGGTTACCCAACTGAGCGACCCAGCCAGAGCTCATTTTTATTCCTAATTTAACCACATTGCACTTTAAACCACGTAAACACAAACAAGTAAATACATTTTAGGTCTGATTATTTCATCACTTTTTTATGAAGCCCTCCAAGAAAAGGTTGATTTTAATAAAGCTTCATCTTGTAGCACAGCTGGGTGAGGATGGGGACTGTTTCTAAGTGGCCATTTCTAGCAGTACCTGTCTTCTTAGAAATTCAGGGGCAGGGTGGTGTTCACCATAACTGGGATGCATTTCTAGCTTAATTTTTGTCAGAAATAGTAATAGCTAAAGGATTTGAATTGTAGAATTTGAATATACCTTAATAAGTGCTAAAGGATTTGAATTGTAGAATTTGAATATACCTTAATAAGTGCTAAAGGATTTGAATTGTAGAATTTGAATATACCTTAATAAGTGCAAAAAAGTATGGCTTGTCCTCAAGGAAGAGTTCATGTGTGTGAAGACCTGGGGAAAATTCTGTTTGCATTTATGTCCTTGAGGCCAGCAGCATCGATTGCATTGTAGTTCATTTTTTCATTTGTAACGTATTCTACATTTATTAGGGATCATTTATGTCTTTTTGAACCGGAGCCCTTTAGAAAAAGTGTTTCTGCTAAATTCTGTGCAGTTGTC